ATGGAGGGCCAGATTACATGGAGTCTTACAGGTCAGAGTTAGGATTTCTGCTTTTATTGTCAGTGGCAGAAAGCCACTGGGTGCCATTGAGCAGAGGGGTGGCATATTCTTGTCTCAACATTTTAACAAAATCATTCAGGCTATGTTAAGAGAAACCCTAGGAAGGCAAGGATAGAATCTAGAAGACTGCTCATGGGTTGCTGTAAATTAATCTAAGCAAGACATAATGGTGGCTTGAATCAGGAAATGGGGAGTTGGGATGGTAAGAAATTTTCATATTCTGGATATGGTTTGAGGTAGAACCCACTGGAATTCTGGTGACAGATGTACATGTAGGAGAAAGAAAAGTCTAGAATGATTTCAGCATTTCTTTCCCTGATCAGTTCAAAGAATAGAGTTACTCTTAACTGAGATTTAAGGGTCTGTACTTGAAGGCACACATTATAGAAGTCTCAGGAGCTCAGTTTGGGGTGTTATGTTCTGGTAGACATGCAAGTACAGGTGTCAAGTAGGCATTTGGGCATATGAGTTTGGAATTCAGGGTAGAGATTGGGATGGAGTTATAAATACAGGAATTCTCACACTGTGTGTAACCATTTTGAGAAAAAAGTCCATACACTAACATGGGGCATACCAGTATTGAAGTCAAGGAGGTAAAGAGGAACCAACAAAGGAAATGGAGAAGGGGCAGTCAGAAAGGTAAGAAGAAAACTAGATGACCATGATGTCTTGAAGCAGACTAGGGAGAGAAAGCATTTTGAGAAGGTGAGAGTAGTCAACTCTGTCAAACTGCTGATTGTTAAAGAAAGATTGAGAATGAGAATTGGCCATTAGATTTAGCAAATGGAAATCTTTGATGTACAAAACAGTAGTTTTTGTGGTGAGGTGGAGGCAAGAACCTACCATGTTTTTCGGAATATAAGACACAACCCCCAAATTTGGGAGGAATAATGGTTATTAATGCTGCTGTTAAGTACTGTTTACGCTTTCATTGGTGAAACATTGTTATTTATGTTATTAAATATTTTACCAAATTTTTTGCTTCGAAATTTTTCCCCCTATTTTCCTCTTCTAAAACCTAGGTGCGTCTTATGGCCCAAAAAATATAATTGGAGTGGATTGAGAGAATATTTAATGACCATCTCCTGCTCTTAATGAAGTACAAGTGCCTTACAGGCTAGAATTTTGCTTTGTTCACTGCTATTATTCAGGCCAAGAGCATGAATTCCCCCTCACCCTGACTTCTGTTCTGTACAGATCACCAGACTGCATGAGGCCCACTCACATTACAAAGGTCAATTTGCTTTACTCAGTCTACTACCTCTCGTGTTGATTTTAACCAGAAACACTCTCACAGACACACCCAGAGTAATGTTTAATTAAATACCTGGGGCTCCCATGGGTCAGTCAGGTTGACGCATAAAATTAACCATCACAGAACCATATGATTATTGATGTGGTTGTCTTTAAATCCACCATTTGGTTGTTTTATTTTATTTGTCTCATCACTTCTTTGTCCTTGTTTTTCTTTTTATCTGCCTTCTTTCAGTTAATTGGATATTTTTTCTGTGATTCTGTTTCATCTTTTGTTGGCATATTAGCTGTAACTCTTCATTGTATTTTCTTACTTGTTTCTTTAAGACATACAGTGGTCCTCAGACACGGGCAGATTTGCCTCCAAGGGGATTTTTGGTAACGTCTGGAGACATTTTTTACAAAACTGGGCAAGTGCTCCTGGCATCTAGTGGGTAGAGGCTGAGTTACCGCAAAAATCTTAAAATGCAAAATATAATAACCCCCACTCCTGCCCAGAAAGGATTATCCAACCCAAAATGTGACTACTGCTGAGGTTAAGAAATTCTAGTCTATACTACACTCTTCAGCTAATAACAGTCTGCTTTCAAATACTATTATACCACTTCACATATACTGTAAATACTTTACCCCAGAATACCTTTATTTCCATATCCTGGTGTTTATATTATTGTTCTACGTTTTATTTTGATATACGTTATACACCCCATGAGAAATTGTTTTTGCCAATTATTTATTCAATTATTTAGAGTCAATTATTTTAAAATATTTTTACTTTTTAAGATTTTATTTATTTATTTATTTATTTATTTATTTATTTATTTATTTAGAGGGGGAGGGAGGGAGGGAGGGCGAAGTGAGGGAGGAAGAAGTGAGGGAGAGAAACATCATTGTGAGAGAGAAACTTATCAGTTGCCTCACTCACACACCCTGTCCAGAAACCAGACACACAACCCAGGCATGTGCCCTGACTGGGAATCGAACCAGTGACCCTTTGCTTTGTGTGACAACACCCAACTAACTGAGTGATGCCATTCAGGGCTGTTTTTAAATATTTTTAAATATATATGAGGTCTTTCCAGAAAAAGTACAGCCGTTGTCACTATAACATTGTTAATATAATGTGGATGGTTGGTGTGATATCCATGTAACCTGGCAGCCCAGAGGAATAGACTGGAATGTACATGCATAAACAAAGACAATTTCACTGGACTAATCAGTGGGGTGGTAGACACCATTGAGTGAGCATGTGTACTGTGTGGCCATTGCATTCAAAATAACTGAGCGACTAAATCAATGGATCTGCATCAAAATTTGTGTTAAGCTTAAACATTCCTCCATGGAAACTATTCAGATGATTTAGAAGGCTGTAGCTATAGAAAACTGGTGGCTGGCAGCTTCATCATGACAATGCACCCACTCATGCCTCATGTCTTGTGCAGAGTTTTGGGGCAAAACATCAAATCACCCAGGTGACTCAGCCCCCCTACAGCCCAGATTTGGTGCTCTGTGGCTTCTGGCTTTTTTTAAATTAAAATCACCTTTGAAGGGAAGAGGTTTGAGATCATTAGTGAGATTCAGGAAAATACAACCAGGCAGTTGATGGTAATTGGGAGAACTGTGTGAGGTCCCAAAGTGCCTACTTTTAAGAGGACTGAGGCATCATTGCCCTGCGTACAATGTTTCTTGTATCTTGTATCTTCAATAAATGTCTCTACTTTTCATAGTAAATAGCTGAATACCTTCTGGACAGACTATATATGTGTACATTTTGATTGAATGATTTTGGTCCTCATCATGGATTACTTTTTTTTTCTGCTGCTTTATATCACTGGTATTTTTTTTATTGGAATCTAGTCATTATGAATTTTGCCTTGTTGGGTATTAGATATTTTATATTCTTATAATGTTCTTCAGCTTTATTTTGGGATACATTTAAGTAACATTCAAATAATATGGTTCTTTAAAGGCTTGCTTATAAGGTTTATTACGGAGACCAGGTCAGCGAAATGTGGGAGCATAATTTTGCCCCATTGCTAAAACCGTACCCTGGTATCTTGTTCATTACAGGGTTTTGTTGTTTTGTTTTATTTTTTTTATTCTGGCTGGTGATAAAATGAGCTATTCCTGGCTTTGGGTGAGCCTAGCAAGTTTTCCCTCTGGTTCTTTAAGTGGTTCTTTCACTGCTTTGTGTAGTTTCCTCACATACATGCCTTCTTCAGTATGTGAAAAAATGAGTTAGTTACTGAAGTAATTCAGAATGACAAACAGTTGGCTTTGATCAAAAGGGGAGAGGGAAATATAATTGATGTCAAGTCCTTAAAGGAAATATAAGTTGACTATTAGTGATGTAACTAATTTCTGACTTTATTTTTAAATTAGGCTGAAGAGTTTGGATTTTGTTATATTTTTATTGTTTTCTATAGGTCATTCCCTTTACACTGAATCTATGTATGCCTCAGTTCTCCCCTTGTAATGTCACTTGAAAGGCTTATGTGTCAACACGATGATCTTGTGGAGAGCAATGAGCTTTATTTTGCGTAGAGTACTCATTTCAGTATAGTGTGTAATTATACTATGGTTCTTGACTGGCATTTTGGCAGCATGAATATTCAATTGTGTGCAATACAAAGGTATATGCAGTTGCACCCATAAATTCATAATGTACAGCTGGTGGGAGAATTAAATATTCACACCCAATAGGTTGTACAGAAATCTTTCTTTAATAGAAACCTATACGTTCACAGAAAGTAAAATTAGAACTTTTTCAGATTTTTATACATTATTATTGATTTTTGATACATGATATTGACAAAGAAGATTGTTCTCTACTTTAAAAAGTTAAGAATGATTTCTCACTTTCATAATCTCACCAAATTCATTTAAAGTGAGTATTTTTTTAAAGATTTTGTTTATTTATTTTTTAGGGAGAGGGGAAAGGAGGTAGAAAGAGAAATATGTGTAAGAGAAACATAGATTGTTTGCCTCTTTCACACCCCCAACTGGGGACCGGGCCCTCAACCCAGGCATGTGCTCTAACCAGGAATTGAACAAGCTACCTTTCAGTCCATTGCTGCAATTGAACCGGCGACTTTTTAAAAAATTTCTAGACAGTAAACTTAGGAAAGTAAACTTGCCACACAGCTAAAAAACCAAATTATATCATTTCTAGATCTTATTACTTTTAGTTTACTGTGAAGCTTCTTATTAATTTAAAAAGTCTTAACAGAAAGCATTTGCTTTATAACATCTTTTTATGAGGTATTTTGGACATTATTAGATATCTCATTGAGTCTCAAAGTTGGTAAGGGTAACTCAACACTAATGAGGACCACTTAATCACAGAAATATTTTTGTACAACCTGAAGAGTACACCCTTGAAATTAGCACACTAGTGTTCTGTTTGGATTAGGCATGGTCTTGAATTGTATCCTTTGATGAAGTGAAGACATTCTGTTGAATAATCCTTGGCCTAAGGATCATGTTCAGTCTTTGTAATAGAGAACATTATTTAATAGCATATATGTGATGATAATTATAATGACCTACATTCTGTTTTATTTTAATTACTAGAGTAGATCAAAATAAAACTTTCTTTACCATTCAGTTTATTGGCAATCTTTCTAATTATGTCTTTTATGTCCTCTTTATCTCTCTGTCCCTCTGATCCCTTTTTCTACTCATAGCTCTATGCCATCCCTTGGTTTCTCACCATGTTTACTCGTAAGTATCATTTTTCCTCTTCTTTTGATATTGTGTTGGCAAAAGTTCAACTCTGTTCTTCCGTAGTATATTATGTTTACAATAGTATCAGCAGATTTAATTACATAAGCATCTATATGCAGTTCTAATCTAATAGAGTTGGGTAGAAAAGAATATTAATTGTTCTGACTGCTGAATATAAAAAAGAATATTGTATTGGATGAAACCTCTTTTACATGTTGTAACAGTCATAAAATTTCAGCCCTCTGTTGAAAAAGAAATTAACATTACCTATAGTCTTTGCATAAAGTTTTGGAAGGCAGCTTTTAAAACCATCAGGCTTAGTTTTTAGAGATTCTCTAATAACTAATACTTTTGTTATTTTATAAACTAGAATTCCCCTAGAAATTAAACAGATTTTGTGAATGTATAATACTTTATCCAATTACAAATATTAACACAGTCCTCATCCTGCTTAAATATACATACATGCTAAGTGAAATACAATATTTGAAATAAATCTGTTCGCATTGACCTGGAAAGATCTATACAGTATTGTTTAATAAAAAAAAATGCAAAAAATAAAAAGTTGCTAATTGGATTTTTTGATGTGAATTTAATAAAGCAAGTATTTAGAGTGCATAATAGAAATACAACAATACTAAAGCTTACCTGAGTGAATAAGTATAACTGGAAAGTTCTAGGAAGAAATACATTGCATGGAACAACTATATCAGCATTCATAATGAAGGTTAGGAAATGTCACCAGTGTGACCAATCTGACTATCAATTTTTTAACGATTTCTTAGGAAGCAATACATTTATAAAGCCAAATAAACATTTTATAACAACAGTTTGGTAGTATATGTCTTAAATAATAGTTTTGACTGTTAATGGTCATATGTCTAGCAAAGTATCTTGTTATTGTTTTAATTTTTGTTAGTTTTTTTTCTTGTAATTCATTAATTTATATTTTGATATTTTACAGATGTATTTCCACTGCACAAAATTTTTCACCTCTGGGATACATTGCTACTTGGGAATTCCTCTTTCCCTTTCTGTATTGGAGTAGCAATTCTTCAGCAGCTGCGGGACCGGCTTTTGGCTAATGGCTTTAATGAGTGCATACTTCTCTTCTCTGATTTACCAGGTACAGATATAAATATATGGGATCTCTAAATGAGACTTAATTGCAGGATGAGACATTCTTGTACTAATTTGCACAAATAATCATTTGAGCCCTCAGAATCTATTCTGCTTGAGCTCCACTATCCCTCGCTGGATTCTCTCCCTTAAATATTGCCTCTTCTGCTGGCCCAGCATTGTAAATACAAAACTGGGTTATTCTAGCTCACTCTGGTTTATTTTCATGTTGATGATGCCATCAAAGGGGTACAAGGGTGAAGGGCAGTACCATATTAGCCTTTTTGCTTAGGACAGGCCTGTTTATCTTCAGCAGGTAGAGTAAATAAAAGGCCATATGGGAAGGTGTTTAAGAATTTATATTGACTTGCTCTGTCCAATTCATAGCTTTTTGCTAACAATGTGACAAATTTAGGAAAGGAAGTACTGTCTTCTTGGAAGGGCAAATGACACTCCAGGGAAAATCTACATCATGCAGTGCAGAATAGTAAGTTAGGCTGTGTATTGTATTCACAGGTAAGGAGTTGGTAAATCTAGGAGTTGAATGCTTAAGTATAGAAATATGGAATGCAACTATGGTCTAATCTTTGATATTCTGGCTGAAAAAATGAAAGTAACGTTGTTACCTAGAATATAACAATCTAAGGAGGAGGAAACTAAACCAAAATGTTTTTCCAGAAAAAGAATTCTACGTTCTCGAACAGCATTTCTTTGACTCCAGTCCTTGTCCTGAGTATATCACTGGTCTCTATATTTTCAGGCAGGCACAAGTGACTGCTGATAATAAACATTTAAATTTATCCAAGAGATAAATTTGCCTAAAATGAAAGAACAAAAGGTACATTAAGATTATATATTTATTAGCACTCTAAAGAGGAATAATAAACCTGCTGCCTACCCTGATTTTTCATTTTAGTGGATTATCTGTACTTAGTACTCTACCATTTTTCTGTTGTTAAGTGTCATACTTTTTGCAAAAATGACAAAAATGCTTAAATTATTAATTTGTTTAAAATTTCTTCCCTCTTCCCCCAAATTAAAAGTACCATCATCAGCTTTCTGACATCAAATTTTAATTAAAGTAAATTATTTCTCATATAAACAAATAATAGTTCAGTTCTTATATTATTTTTTCTGGGGAAGTCTTTGTGAAAGTCAAATATCTATTTTTTCTTCCTTTTTTTTTTTTCTCTTTGTGATGTTGAACAGTAACTAAGAAGCAAGTTCTTCAAACTAGGAATACTGTCTCTACCCTGCAGATGTTTTCCTGTCATTTCCAACTTGCCAAAGTAAACAGAGGATGATTTGTTAGGAGTAAATGAATTTTTATGGTCAGTTCTCAAAATATATATATATACTAGGAATGCTGACTGTACAGTTTCAAGACAAGAAAATGTAATGCTTTTTCAATTTTGTCCATAAATGCTCCAGTTAAACACTGGTGAAGGGATCTGTTTTCATATTGTATAGACAGGTTAGTGGTAACTGATTAAAATAAAATCATTATTTCTCAGATCAGAAAGTAAGAATGTATGATTGTTTAATGATTAAAATTAATCATTATTTCTCAGATCAGAAAGTAAGAATGTATGATTGTTAGGACTGACTCATTGAAAAGGTCAACTCTGTTAACTTTGAAAACGGTTTAATGATTAATGATTAATTAATGATTAAAATGATTAAAATAAAATCATTATTTCTCAGATCAGAAAGTAAGAATGTATGATTGTTAGGACTGACTCATTGAAAAGGTCAACTCTGTTAACTTTGAAAACGGGATGCCTCGTGCTAATGTGCACTGCCGTGCAGGCTCAGTGCATCATTCTGGCTCATCACTTACTCACTCGCTACATTTGATTCCCATCGGGAAAGAAAAAAGTGTGTAAGAAAAATGTTACTTAAAAAAAACAGAAACAGTTTAAATGCAAGTTTTGTTCTTAAATTTTGTTTTATTTTTAATCAAATTACGCTTATTTAGTATGTCTTTTCCTACATAAATCTAAAGAGATTTTTTTAAAAAATCATATTGAGTCCCATCACAGTGCTTGATGCTCAAAGGAACAGGGAAGTGGTCAAGGGAAATCCTAAAAAGTGAGTTCAGACTGGCACACACACAAACACACTGAATGCACCTTTTTAAGCAAAGCATTTAGTGATGTAAGCTAGCAACGTAATTTGAAAGAAGCATTAAGTTTACCAAGGAGAAAATTGATACGCTAATTCTGCATTTCACTTTAACCCTTGGGACAGTCTCTATAGATAAAAATAGATTAGACTTAATCATTGGTTTAAAGTCACTATGTTGTACCTTACTGAAATCCCCATTTAACTAAGTTTAAAAGCATAAATAATCAAAACAAATTTAATTGAATTCTTTGCTGAAGCAGGTTAATAAAGCCACTGTTCAAAGTATCTCTTGACAATTAAATGAAGGAAATACCATCCCATTGGTAACCATGTGAGCAAAACAGACTTTTAAAAAAATTGTCCTTTTTAGTTGTTTTTTTCTACAAAGAGAGTCCCAGTGATGTAGTGACTAACAGCATGAAATGCAGAGCCACATCATCTGGGTTTCAGATACTGGCTCCGCCACGTACAGTGATGTGACCTTAGGGATATGGCTTAAACCTCTTTGTATCTATTTCCTTGACTCCAATTATATGAGAATGGTAATTGTACTTACCTCATAGGGTTGTTTTATTAAATAAGTCAGTATATTACATAACTTAGAGTAGTGCCTGAAAAAGAGCAAGTGCTATAAGTTATTAATGTTATTATCATTATATTTTGTTTTCCTCCTTTTTTTATTCTATCATGATATGCTTCTCTCTTGGTAGTGTAAACGCAGCATTCAGGCTATTTGGCTTTTTCTATAAATTATTGAAATTGATAGATATCAGCCCTGGCTGGTATGGCTCAGTGGATTGAGTACCAGCCTGCAAACCAACAGGTTGCTGATTCAGTTCCCTGTCAGGTCACATGGGGACCTAGGTTTTGAGCCATGTCCCCAGTTGGGAGCATGTGAAAGGCAACCACACATTGATGTCTCTCTCTCTTTTCCTCCTTCCTCTCCCCTCTCTCTAAAAATAAATATTTTTAAAAAAGAAATAGATATCAATCATATATATTTCCTTGTTAGTCAAAGCAAGTGAGCAATTACTAAAAATGTCATGTAAACCTTCAATATTAAGTGTATATATATTATGGCTAAAAGAGTTTGTCTTTTTATTGCTTGGGTACAGCATAGTGGCTAGAGAGCATTGACTTTGGAGTCAAGACAGATATGGGTTTGAGTCCTCATTCCACCAATCACTACCTGTATTAACTGGGAAATGTCCAGTGTGGTTCCACTGCTGAAAGAGTGGTATGTAGAGTGAGATAAACATTCATTCACATTCCAGCTCTAGCCCATAGTAGCAGTGTGAACTTGGTCAAGTTTTTAATCACACTGGAAAGAGAATCCTATACATTATGAATGTTTCAGTAAGATGGAGATGATAATGTCTGCTTTAATGTTATGGTTAGCACTAAAGATAATATATATAATGCACTTGACATAAAACCTGGTACCAGCTATGCATAACTATTTTTAAAGTATATGTAGTATTAAATATTTTAAATATGTAAAGAATGTGTAATATTCAATCTTTATAAATTCCTCTTTTCTTCCTCCTATTCTTCACTTTATACTAACCCTTTGATTCTTGAAGAAAGAACACACAGACAGGAATTATTATTTTTGCCAAAAATTGTTCCCAACTTCTGTTCCCTTATAAATGATATAGTGTGATGTTACATTCCAAGGAAGTACAAGTGGTGCTAGAAAATTTTGCTGAAAGTTCTTGACATGTATCGGTATGTGTGTCATTTTAATATTAATAATTTAAGCATTTTTGTCATTTTTGTAACTGTGAGAGCAGTACATTTGCTATTTGTCAATCTAAAAATAGTGGCAGGGTGTTTTGGAAGAAATACTGAGTTTTTCATTGCACCATCCAATCCTGGACGTTGGCCACTGGTGTTAAAACCATTTCCAAGGTTACCACCCTTTAAGCCCAGTTACAGGGTGACATCTGTCAGCCTTCAGCCTGCAATCTCCAATATTCTGCTGTATTGTCTATGTGGCTGATTTTTTTTTGAGGCTACATTCAAGCAGTTTTCAAGATGAGTATGAAAATCTGAATAAAAGCAAAATGGTAATAATTTTAGAATTGATTTAGAATAGCTGAGATGTTTAGATGCTTTTTTTGTTTTGTTGGTAACATGTCCTTTGTATAGTTGAAAATTAATTCAAAATATTTATGTCATTATATAATTGAGATAAATTCTTAGAATGTATGGTTTTTTATTCCTGAGCATCTTCAAAGATAAGAATATTTAAAAGCAGGAAAGAAGCTTTTATTAGAGAACATATAGAAAGAAATTGAGAAATCTGTGCAGAATAACACTTGATTTAGTATCAGAGATTAAAATAGTTACTTTAACATTAAGATAAAGAAATGTATATATAAACTATTTTAGAAGAAAATACTGAATATACAAAAGGGACATATGAAAATTTAAAAATTCTGGTTGCAGGAGGAAATTAGCATTTGGCTGAAATAATCTTTGTTGTGTGATGTTTAATACAGAAGCTTAATGGAAAGGAAATGGTTTAAATAAAAATTTTAGAAAACTTTATTTCAGAATAACCCATATACTTTACAATAGGATTGATTTTCAACATACATGAAAAATACTGGTAGCCTCTCACTATTATATAGCACTTCACTGGTTCCCCAAAAATATTGAATTAGTGCTGTAAGTAATTAGGAAAAGTCATTTATCTGTTCTGATTTAAAGAACTTTTGTAATGCAGCCTTTCTCCAAATTTAGCATAGCATGAAATATTTCATGAAAGCAATACATTTTTTGAGTAACACAGTTATGTACCAGGTTGCCTAAAAAGCTATAAAAAATCAGGCCATTTTTTTCAAATAACATGCAAATATGGAACTGAAAACAAAA